ATTACGTATTGCTAACCTGTAATAACAATTTATAAAAATTATAAATAATAATAATAATAATCATACCCCCTGTAATAATAAGGAGCCATAAATAAATACAAAAACAAAAAATACAAATATCATTAGTGAGAAATGATATACAGTATGTACAGTATGTTGTATTGCCAATAGTAAGAGAAACAATTGAGACCCTGCAATTGTGTGTAAATGAGGCAGAAAGTCAGATCAGCAACCTGGGACTTGGTCACAATTTTCGTGATGCCATATGGCAGCAGGGTCTACCATTAGACAACACATTATGCTTCCAATATCTTCCCAGGCGGTAGTACCTCCCTGTTTGATAGCTGCCTACTACTTACTACCTACTTCCCGCCAAGTTAGAGAAAATAATAGAAGAGAAAGGCTATAAATCAGAACAAGTGTTTAATGCTGATGTATCTGGTTTATATAAGAGGAAAATGCCAGTTAGAACATATATACACAAGAAGGAAAGGCGTGCCTCTGGGTTCAAGGCAGCCAAGGACAGAATGACACGAATCTTCTGTGACAATGAAGCTGGCCACATGATCAAGCCTGGCTTGCTTTACCTCTCAGCATATACTAGGGCTTTAGAGGGAAAAAACAAGAACGTTTTGCTAGTTTTTTGGCAGTCCAACAAAAAGGCATGGGTAACTATGCAAGCATTCCTGGACTGGTTCCATAAATACTTCATCCCATTACCTTGCTTCCAAGAAAGTGGAATTCAAGGTGTTATTACTGACAGACAATGCACCACGCCACCCAGAAAGTTTGCAGTTTAACCATCCAGGTGTAGAGGTGGTGTTCCTATGCCCTAAAACCACTGCTCTTATTCAGACTCTCGATCAGGATGTAATACGCACATTCAAGGTACATTACACCCGGCGCTCTTTTGGTCATATCCGTAGTGGCATGGATGCAGACCCTTTCCTTGATGTTAGCAAGTGTTGGAAGTAGTACAGTGGTCCCTCGGTTAACGAGCACAATCCGTTCTAGAAGGTTGCTCGTTAACCGAAACCATTGTTTCAATGGTTGTTCACCACCAAATTAAATTCAACAAAAGGCTCTTTGAGGTGTGTGCAGAAGGCTCTTGATGATGATGATGATGATGGGATTAGAATGGGGGTGGAGGAGGAGTAGCAGAGAGCAGACACATTCACCCATAAAATTTAGTTCTCTTGGTGTAATTCAGATTATTTTTAAATCAACACTGCACTGCATTATATATTGTCAATATGAATAATTTCAATGACCATATTTGCTTGAACACAGAAAGCATTTAGTTCAGCAAGATGTTACCTCCACTGAAAGACACAAAGACTGACGCCTGTATGGTGTGTTGAGAGGCTGGATGGCGAGATAAAACTAGTTTCATTACCTTCAATTATGTTCAATAATTGTTAAAATTACTAAAAAATTTAATATTAAACTTTTAAAATTATTGAATAGTATAAACTTACAATCACCTCCCACACAGAATACACATCCATGTTCTTCATATTTCTTATTTTAAAGTTGTATATTATATTTTCTTAATTTCTTTAGTTATGTTAGAGTACATTGACCTCGTTAACAACACTGTTAACGAATTGATTAACCAACTGCCTTCCATAAGGATCTTCACTGGTTAACGAAAAATACAACGAACTTCTTAACCCACTCAACATGTTTCTACACTGACCGGCAACCAGCTTTAGTATCAGTCCGCCCATTAATCGGTTCTAGGCTTAAATTCCTTACTATTTTGGTAAATACAAGAAGTTTATACTATTCAATAATTTAAAGTTTAA